TGTAGTCGTTTTTGCAAGTGGTTATGAGAACAGGTTTGACTGGATACTTGAAGACTGCAGCAAGGGGGAAAATGTAAGAGTAAATTATGTTCTATTTTCTTCCTTGTCTGTTGTGATCAATGATGTGGCTTAGTCCATTTTGTCCACCAAAACAGAGTTTGTTTGCTTCTTTCAAGAAAGGTCCAAAGTCACACGCTGACTGGTTGTACATATTATAGAGGCCGAACAGCAAAAGAACCGCAAAACCCCGAGAGAGAAAGACACATATTCATGATAATATACATGTAGTATCATTTTCTTTCTGATCATGAAGTGCATCAAATTGTTAGATATGTGCTGAAGATCAGGTTATATCGTGGGTGGTTGCTGGGTGTTCTGGTGTGATTCGTTCCTGCTTTTCTACTCAAATATTTATCGTTCCTTATCTTACCTCCTTCTTTTCGTTGTATATTACTCTCTTTATTTATTTATTTTTTATAGTGAGCGTTTTACGGCAACGGCGCTTGCAAAACAATTAGGTCATATAATAGAAGTGCCGAAGATTAAGTGTGTTACAGGAGAGTAACAAACACAGAAAGTAGGAAGAGAAATGAGGATAATACTTGTACAATGTTTAATACGAAAGAAGGAGCAAACCACACAAAAAGCGTACCAACTACTACTACCAACTGATACTCTCTTGAAGCACTTCTAATCTTTGGCACGTATATATGAGTGTGACCTCATTGTGTTGCAAGTACCGAATAACTTTTACCTAAACTAAACTAAACTAAACTAAACTAAACTAAACTAAACTAAACTAAACTAAACTAAAGCTTTATCTTCAGCGTTTCACAGACAGGCGATTTTGCATAATAAAAAGCCTCCCTCTTATAAGTTCGCATCTTATTGCCGTTAATCGCGATCGATAGTTATTAAGGATGGCCCCCTTTATAAATTATAGTGGGACTTGTATCTTTCTATTTATAATGGGCAATCAGGCCATCAACTTCTTTTGTTAGTGAGAAGAATGAGAACTTTTCTTTTCTTTTCATTCTTCAGTTTACATCACCCATGGACTATGGTTAGGATTAGGACATAATAGATACAACGTCTTAAGAAAAACAAAACAAAACAAAACAACAACAACAACAACAACAACAACAACAACAACAACGACAAAACAACCAAAACAACAATAAACAGGCCTTCATAGTGGTTAGGCTACCGGACTCGTAATCGTGAGATTGTGGGTTCGGGGGTTCGAGCCTCAGCTCGGCCCGACGTTGTGTCCTTGGGAAAGGCACTTTACACAAACTTCCCATTTGGCTCGGTCCTATCGGAGACGACGTTAAACTAGGAGGTCCCGCCCCTTTAATAACCTAATAGTGTTGTTAAACCCATACCATTTCACCATTTTTTCACCAGGCCTTCCATTATTTTCATTTTCCATTCTAGCTAGATTTGCATTCACCTGGCAATGTTCACCCCACCGAGTTTGTTTTGCTCCACGAGCATTGCTTTAGCCCACCTCCTTGTGAAGTGAAGAAAGTTTTGGCTTTAGCGAAAATTTAAATAAAAAACAGGACCATGTTGTTTGTGGGTGGTTGGAGAGCGCCACTTGTAGGCTCTTCTTCTTCTCTCTCCCTTTCGTCGTCTCTTTCTGTCTGGCGTTTCGCCCTGCAGTTGCTGGATGTTGTTGTGGTGGTGTGCTTTTCTTCGCTCAGAGGGAATCAGTCAGGGTCAATATACACGGTCACAAAGGTTATCAAGGTCTCTCTTCCACTCCCTCTCTCTCTGTATCTCTCTCTCAGTGTCTGTCTGTCTGCCTCTCCCCCCTGTCTGTCTGTTTGTCTGTCTGTCTGTCTGTCTCTCTCTCACTCCATCTCCATCTCTGTCTCTTTCTCTGACTATGCCGTCTGTTTATCTATCTCTGTCTCTCTCCCCCTCTCTCTTCCTGCTCCCCCTTCCATCTCCTCCCCCTCTCTCCCTCACCCCCTCCCTCTCTCCCCCTCTCCCCCTCTCCCCCT